ACCAACATCAACATCAACACAAACATCAATACCAACATCAACACCAACATCAACACAAACATCAACACAAACACAAACATCAACACAAACATCAACACCAACATCAATACCAACATCAACATCAACACAAACATCAATACCAACATCAACATCAACACAAACATCAATACCAACATCAACACCAACATCAACACCAACATCAACACAAACATCAACACAAACATCAATACCAACATCAACATCAACACAAACATCAATACCAACATCAACATCAACACAAACATCAACACAAACATCAACACCAACACCAACACCAACATCAACACAAACATCAATACCAACATCAACACCAACATCAACACCAACATCAACACAAACATCAACACAAACATCAATACCAACATCAACATCAACACAAACATCAACACAAACATCAACACCAACATCAACACAAACATCAACACAAACATCAATACCAACACCAACATCAACACAAACATCAACACAAACATCAATACCAACATCAACATCAACACAAACATCAATACCAACATCAACATCAACACAAACATCAATACCAACATCAACACCAACATCAACACCAACATCAACACAAACATCAACACAAACATCAATACCAACATCAACATCAACACAAACATCAATACCAACATCAACATCAACACAAACATCAACACAAACATCAACACCAACACCAACACCAACATCAACACAAACATCAACACCAACATCAACACAAACATCAACACCAACACCAACACCAACATCAACACAAACATCAACACCAACATCAACACAAACATCAACACCAACATCAACACAAACATCAACATCAACACAAACATCAACACAAACATCAACACCAACACCAACACCAACATCAACACAAACATCAACACCAACATCAACACAAACATCAACACCAACACCAACACCAACATCAACACAAACATCAACACAAACATCAACACCAACATCAACACAAACATCAACACAAACATCAACATCAACACCAACACCAACATCAACACAAACATCAACACAAACATCAACACAAACATCAACATCAACATCAACACAAACACAAACATCAACACAAACATCAACACAAACATCAACACCAACACAAACATCAACATCAACACAAACACAAACATCAACACAAACATCAACACAAACATCAACACAAACATCAACACCAACACAAACATCAACATCAACATCAACACAAACACAAACATCAACACAAACATCAACACCAACATCAACACCAACATCAACACCAACATCAACACAAACATCAACACAAACATCAACACCAACATCAACACAAACATCAACACCAACATCAACACCAACATCAACACAAACATCAACACAAACATCAACACAAACATCAACACCAACACAAACATCAACATCAACATCAACACAAACACAAACATCAACACAAACATCAACACAAACATCAACACAAACATCAACACCAACACAAACATCAACATCAACATCAACACAAACACAAACATCAACACAAACATCAACACCAACATCAACACCAACATCAACACAAACACAAACATCAACACAAACATCAACACAAACATCAACACCAACATCAACACCAACATCAACACAAACATCAATACCAACATCAACACAAACATCAATACCAACATCAACACAAACACAAACATCAACACAAACATCAACACCAACATCAACACCAACATCAACACAAACATCAATACCAACATCAACACAAACACAAACATCAACACAAACATCAACACCAACATCAACACCAACATCAACACAAACATCAATACCAACATCAACACAAACACAAACATCAACACAAACATCAACACCAACATCAACACCAACATCAACACAAACACAAACATCAACACAAACATCAACACCAACATCAACACCATGAATGCGAGCGGTGATCAAAGGACCTGTTAACAGTCCCTGTTTCTGACAACATTTCAACATGTCTGAATCGAGAGTTTAAACACGTTTATTAGAAGTGGGGAAAAATCGATTTAAGATTGTTTTCTTCTGAGATTTTAAATAGATTCATAACTTCCAAAAAACTTTCTTTGGCTAATCAGTCCCTCCCTGCTAAAGCTAAGCTAGCTCTTTAACTCAGTAGAAATGGAACAGAAAGAACTACAGACTCACAGATAGACTCTGAGGTACGTCCTGAGTCACAGATAGACTCTGAGGTACGTCCTGAGTCACAGATAGACTCTGAGGTACGTCCTGAGTCACAGATAGACTCTGAGGTACGTTCTGAGTCACAGACAGACTCTGAGGTACGTCCTGAGTCACAGATAGACTCTGAGGTACGTCCTGAGTCACAGACAGACTCTGAGGTACGTCCTGAGTCACAGATAGACTCTGAGGTACGTCCTGAGTCACAGATAGACTCTGAGGTACGTTCTGAGTCACAGATAGACTCTGAGGTACGTCCTGAGTCACAGATAGACTCTGAGGTACGTCCTGAGTCACAGATAGACTCTGAGGTACGTTCTGAGTCACAGATAGACTCTGAGGTACGTCCTGAGTCACAGATAGACTCTGAGGTACGTCCTGAGTCACAGATAGACTCTGAGGTACGTCCTGAGTCACAGATAGACTCTGAGGTACGTCCTGAGTCACAGATAGACTCTGAGGTACGTCCTGAGTCACAGATAGACTCTGAGGTACGTTCTGAGTCACAAACAGACTTTGAATCCAGAATCGTTTTGAAATAAAAAAAAATAGATTCTGAAGAGAATCATGAGACAGCCTTGATGTTCATGGAGACTGAACTGTCTCTGTGATGAGGTTTAGTTTTGTATCACTGCTTTCTTCTCTAAACAGAATCAAACACAAAGAGGAGCTTAGAAAAGTCTCCTCACCCTCCACTAGTGGTGTAGTACTCAAAATCTTCACGGTCTCCAGATCACTTCATGAAGGTCTCTGAATCTAAATCATTTTTATCCGGTCTTGTCTCGGCCTCAGACTGGGCCGAATCTGGATTTTAAATCAAGACGGGTCAAGACCTCCACTGATCGGCTATTTGTCCTCATCATTACTCAGATATTAGAAGGAAAACACATCTTTTTAAAAGAACAAATAAATGAAATGAATCTGTACTGCAGGTTGATTTGTATCCCCCGGTTATGGCAGCAACCTTCCCGGTGTTACGGTCTGAGTGAGAGACACGCCCCCTAATCACAAGGTGATGATTTGTGATATTTCTGGTCTTGGTCTTGTCTCGGTCTCAGACGCTGGGTGGACTCGTTGTTCTGAATATAATAATGAAATAAAATAATAAAGAAATAATAATGAATAATGAAACACCAGAATGCTTAACATCCTCTCCTCTGATTTGTTGTTTCTATTGATGAACTTTTAAAACTAACATAACGTATCTAAGCTAGCTAGCGCTAACGTTAGCTAGCTCCCCTTTGTGTCGGTTATTTTCGGTTATTTTCGGTTATTTTCGGTTATTTTCGGTTATTTCTGAATCAAAACGTCATTAAAGGATACTGTCCGAGTCTTAAGCTGTCGCAGCTGTCCACCTCCTCCGCCAGAACCTTTAAATGAGAGTAAACAGAGTAAAACAAGAGGCTCCATATCCCGGAGCGTAAACAAACCAGCCGTCTCCGGGAGGACGCCATGTTTCTCTGACTGCGTCACGTGACCGAGTGATGCGTTCAAGACTGTAAGGAAAAAAAGATTATTCAGAGATCTATGGCACAAGTGCTGAAACTAATGTTTTACCAACTTTAAACTGAAAGATAAAATATTAGATATTCCAATCCAATTCACATTTATGTACACACCTATAGAACATTTAAAAACAGAACAATTAAGCCAGAGTGCTGTTCAAACATACATAAAACATAACAAACATTGAGACCAATTTAAAAACAAGACAATCAAACTAAAAAGCATTAAGACCATCAGTTAAGCAACAGTTAACCTGGTGACGGCTGATATGAACACTAAGGTGACGTAATCCGGTCGACAGTTGCTAGAGCGACGTCACTTACGCGACACAACAGAAAATATGGAGGACGCCGTGGTGATGAGTGTGTGCAGGTTTATGAACATAACTGAGTTTGAACGGAGACGTGCAAAGCATTTTAAATGATTTTAGGAGCTTTTACCGTCTTTTATTTGCTAACATGTACAGTGGGGTTTACGAAATAGCTTTTGGTGGTACTGGATTGGCTCTTGTGTTCGACCAATCAAAGTACACTGATGTCACTCAAAGCTCCTCTTGTGCTGGGAGAGTATCTACTCTGAAGCAGGAACTTAAGGGTTTCTCTAAACGGGGTTCTAGGAACTAAAATAGTTCATAGTCCCTGTGGTGTGAAACCAATAAAAAGGGGGAGGGGCCCAACAAATCCTCGGACTATGAAAAAATACCTGGGTTCCAAAACACGCTATAAGATGTGAGGACCCGTCAAGATCAGAAGATTATCTTTTCTTTATTCTGCTTTTCTGAATTGTGATTCAAAAATTGATAATTAGGAGGATATATCAAAGCATTGCCTTGACCTTTTTAAATAAATTCATATTTGTGAGCCTTTAATTTATTTGAGCTTATAAAAAGGATGTTAATAAGTCATATCAATATTTCAAATTGTGTTTAAAAAATATTAATTTAAGTTTTTTCCCCATCCTGCTCTTGGCACTACTCTTCAAGGCGACATTAAAAAAAAAAAATAACAAAAAATGAAAAAATAAAACATAACTAGCGATAAAACATGTTTACGGAAAATAATCATATATACAACCTTTTTCTTTTCTTATTTTGTAACACACAAATTGAGTAACAAACTTTCAGATAATTTAAAATCTCGGAAAATATATTCGAAAGCTAAATTTCCGACAGCACCATAAACGCAGCATTAAAGCGATACTAGTGCCAAACTGGATCCACTTCATGTGAGTTTAGCACCAGATTAAAACCAGTTTAAACGTGTCTGTTTTTAATTATTTTATCCCTGAGTGGTGGCGACACCCTCCGACTGTGTATCCGCTATAAAGACACCTGAACCGGGTTTATTTGAGACCTTTAAAACAGGCTAAGTGAGCATGCTAGCGGGTAGCCCTCTGTTAGCGGAGGGCTGAGGAGCTGAAGTTGTTTAATGTTGTTTTCGTTTTGATTACTTTTAAAAAACCTCCAGAGTTCAGTTAAATGTTATCTCTGATATAATAATGTGTGTTTAAATATGTCGTAGGTTGATGGAGAGTGTTTGAAAGATGTGTTTTTAAAGTGTGATGCACCTGTTGCGTCCTGAACCTGCTGTTTTAAAGCTTTTCACTCTCCGTTACTTTTTAAAATGTGGCTTTAAAAGCTTCAATAAAGCAGGAAAATGTGTTTTTTTAATAGTTCCTACATTTGGTTTCATCCCCCTCTCCCCTCTGAGTTTGCTGAGTTTCACTTCCTGGTTTCTCAGGTGAGCTGCGCAGGTGAGCAGGTTTCAGTGAGACCTTCAGGTTTCTGTGTTCAGTTTGGGGAATGTCGTGTTGTTTGTTTTCCCCCTCGTGCTGATGAGCTGATGGAGTGTGACCTGGTTCTGCTCTCACCTGAGTAAACACACCTGGCTAATAAATGCTAAGCTAACAGTCTGATAACACCTGAGACAGATACTTCCTGCAGTGTCAGAGCAGGTGTCAGGACGCAGGAATTTAAAGTTTGATATGATACTAGTTCAAACTTAACACGATATCACTTTCTGTTCGTTACCATAGCAACAAGAAGAAAAGTCCCACACGCCCAAATATGGGAATTTTTTTTCTTTTTTTGATGACCAACTAGCAGCTAAAATCGTAAAAAGTATTTCCTGTCAGCCGGAGGTCAACAGATATTTCCTGCCAACGTTTCTCTCGCGAGCTGAGGGGTGAGGCGTATTAAACGGGCGTGCCTGCGGTTGCCATGGTGATTTTGGAGGCTGTCAGGCACATTCAGGAGAAGAAGTCCTGAAGTCGGGGGAAACCGTCTGGTGACTCTGATCTCACTTATAGACATTTTAAACACATGCCAGAAAATGATGGTACTAGTGGGGAGCAGCTGATCGGGCGGTTATCGTCTGTCGTGCCTCGGTGTTGTAGGCGACGCTGCACGATTAACGCCGGGCGACCGGGCTGAAATTTGGATCGGCTTCAAAATGAGTTGTAAGACTCAGAAATCGGGTTTAAATCAGCCCTGAGAGCGTATTGGTGAACGCCCGGCTTTAAACAACATCGTCCTGCCTGAACTTGTCTGAACTTTTTTTTGTCTTAACTTGTTTGTGATAACAAACTAAGTGGTCCTACTTTTCTTAAAGTGCCTGAACTCATCACATCCTCTGTCTTTTCTCGTCTTTCCTAAAACGGTTTTAAGTTGTCCTCACTGAACTCGTCTTGTCTGGTCTTGGTTATGACACACCCTCTTTGGTTTTCTTTCATAAATGTTCGCTCTCCTGTTCAGATCGATCCAGAGCGACGAACGGAGAGCGAGGAACGACAACGATGTTTGAGAATGTCCCGACGGGTAAAGAGCCTCTCAGCTGTTCCACATTGAAATAAGAGAAATGATGATGTGCACAGATTCACTCTGTGTTTGTCCCTCAGTGTCCACCGCAGAGCGTCAGCAGGTACTGGGAGCTCTGGAGCGTCTGCAGGCCAAACTGGTGCAGAGGGAGGAGTGGAGCCACAGCGAGACCCTGGGGACCCTGAGGGAGACCCTGCAGAGTCCTCTGTTCAGTCACATCCTGACCCTGCAGCACTCCATCAAACAGCTGCGACACCAGGTGAGGAGCACGCCGTCAACACGACAAACAGAGACACACTAAACTACAGATACAAACTTTACCTGAGAATAAGAAGATGAATATCTGGAGTATGGACGGGGTCTGAAACTAAAACCCGCCAAGCACCAAATGCTGATTCCATTGTCTGTTTGGAGAATATTTCAGAGCGCCATCGCCTCGTGGCGGGTAAATGTTTGTAGAGTTTTACGCTAATTTGTTGTAGCTGCAGCGTCTGTCTCCTGCTCCTCTCCTGTCTTTATGTCAGACAACATACACTGATGCACAATCAGGCGCCAGCCACAACGCTCTGCTGTTTTCCTCTGGTGCAAGGGAACGCAGTTGATCCATGGTCCCACCAGACCGAGTTCTACAGTTTGGTTTGCTCATGATCTGTTCTGTGCAGCCTGCAGCTTGCTCCGTCAAAACTAGACTAGCAGATGTAGAAATATATGTGAAATATGTGCAAATTGGCTGAAAAGTCAGGGGCAGCTGTGGGTCAGTGGTTGAGTTTGTCGTCTCTTAACTGGAAGGTCGGGGGTTCAATCCCCAGATGCAGCCACGTGACTCTTTACTCAGCAGCCTCTACCATCAGTGTGTGAATGTGTAGGTGTGACCTGAGGTGAAGAAGAGCTTTTTTAGTCAGAAGACCAGAAGGGAGATCAGTACAAGATCAAGTCCATTTACCGATTAGTGAGCAGTGATATAAAACCAACAGGTAGCAGCATGTACCTGAGTTAACAACAACCAGGTGAACACAGGTGTAAGTGTTGATATGGAGAGGCTGAGAGGAGAGTTCTGTGCTGTTTTTATTGCCTGCTGGTTGTCGCCCTGATGCTAACGTTACCGAGAAATGAACAGGAGCTGCTGCTCGATTCCTCTTTCCATCTGTGTGGATGGAGTGTGTTTGTAGAGAGCGATGTAACAGCTGTTTGTGGTTAAAGAAATCATCCTCTCTCTGCAGGGATCCTTTCTGTGATGATGTCACTTAGAGGCGGACAGATTCTGATTGGCTGGCTGTTTTTTGTTGTTGTGTTTGATGACATCAGCAGGTGTCTCGTCCTCTGACCTCACACTGTAATGTGTATTATCAGCGTGCAGACTAATTAAAGAGTCCTGTTTGATCTGACACGTCTAACTCCGCCCACATGTTGACAGCCTATCAGGGAGCAGCGCCGTGCCTGCCTCCTGTCCCCACACACAGTGACCTGTCAGTGGGGCTGAGCGGGGGGACATTGACTCCACCTCCACATCTCCATCTGTATTCATGTCGCGCTCGCTCTGACGCCGAGCCTTTACAATAAACAATCTGCGGGCCAAATTAAGATAATGGCAATAACTGACGCCGGGCTTCATATTCTAAGTGCTGCGAAGGTCACAGCTGAGTCTATGAATGCTCGCTGGAAGCCGGAGGAGGGTATATGAAGCCCGGACTTCTCTCTCTCTTTCTTTATTTATTTCCCCCCCTTCCCCCCCTCCTCCCCCCGGCCCTGCGGATCTATCAAGCTTTAATATCTAGTGTCTCGCTTTGAGTAACGGCCTTGTCGAGGCGGTATTGATGAAATGGCTCGGGATCCTGCTCCGTCAGCCCGGCCTAAATAAGCCGCAGACTGATAAGTTTCCACAATGTGAGTGTAAAGGTCATTAATACATTACCTGTTCAGAGAGTGAGAGCCTGCAGAGGAATCTATTGATTTTCTTTTTCTCCCACTCTCCTCCCCACTTACCCCCCCGGCCTCTCCGCTTCTTTTTTCTACCTCCATGTCTTTCTTTATTGTCGACAACGTCCTTGCATATAAGAGCACCTCTCTCTCTTTTAGTCTGTCCCTGCATGTGTTGCTCTCTCTCTCTCTCTCTCTCTCTCTCTCTCTCTCTCTCTCTCTCTCTCTCTCTCTCTGTCTCTCTCTCTCTCTCTCTCTCTCTCTCTCTCTCTGTCTCTCTGTCTCTCTGTCTCTCTCTCTCTGTCTCTCTCTGTCTGTCTCTCTGTCTCTCTCTCTCTGTCTCTCTGTCTCTCTCTCTCTGTCTCTCTTTTAGTCTGTCCCTGCATGTGTTGCTCTCTCTCTCTCTCTCTCTCTCCCTCTCTGTCTCTCTCTCTCTCTCTCTCTCTCTGTCTCTGTCTCTCTCTCTCTCTGTCTCTCTCTCTCTCTCTCTCTCTCTCTCTCTCTCTCTGTCTCTCTCTCTCTCTCTCTCTCTGTCTCTCTCTCTCTCTCTCTCTCTGTCTCTCTCTCTCTCTGTCTCTCTGTCTCTCTCTCTCTCTCTCTCTCTCTCTCTCTCCCTCTCTGTCTCTCTCTCTCTCTCTCTCTCTCTGTCTCTGTCTCTCTCTCTCTCTGTCTCTCTCTCTCTCTCTCTGTCTCTCTCTCTCTCTCTCTCTCTCTCTCTCTCTCTGTCTCTCTGTCTCTCTCTCTCTCTCTCTCTCTCTCTCTCTCTCTCTCTCTCTCTCTCTCTCTCTCTCTCTCTCTCTCTCTCTCTCTCTCTCTCCTCTCTTCTCTCTCTCTCTCTCTCTCTGGTCGTGTGATGCCCACCAGTACCTTACACTCGAGTGGAAACAGACTCTGGTGAAAGTATTTTTAACGCTGTGAGTTGTTTCCTCGCAGAGGAAGTGTTTTTAGTGCTCTGAAATGTCCTCACAGTATCAAAATAAAAAGTGTCCCTTTGAAGGACATTTCTACCGGCTGTTTGCGGACGTAGCTAACTGAAGCTACCCTCAGAATTTGGCTCTAAAAGCTGCGATTTAAAAAACAAGAAAGAAAGCAGTCCGGTATGAAACATGGATTGGATGATACTGTTAATTTGGTCGCATAATGACGGGCGCAGTCTCTGTTAAATCTGCTAATGGCTACTGTTAGAGGGACAACACAACGTTTCATGGAGCCCACGTCACTTAAACACCACGCTGAGGTCAGACGTCTTCAGTCATCAACCACGACCCGACACAGGAGGAGGAGGAGGAGAAATGCCCCCCTCCTCTCTGACAGGGATAGTCCCCTGCTGTGAGATTTTTGAGATACCTTCTCATTTCTTAAACTACTATGTTGAAAGACCCATCCTGTGAAAAGATGTTAGTCTGTTTGAGAAGGGTCAAATCATTGACTTACATCA